AATCAGAATTTGTTGAGATGCGAAAAGTGTTTTGTTGCTGTATGTTTCAGAAAATAGCTGGCTTTGATGAGCATTCTACAGATGTTTCCAGAAGGCTCATCCACTTTGCCTCCAGTATTTTGTTTTGATGAAACCAAATATAAAAGAGAACAGCTTGAAACAAGTGAGAATCGGGCCGTCTACAATAAAAAAAAGTAAAGACTTCACTCTCTGTACCAAATTTATTAACATCTCCTCATTAATATGGACTGTAAAAAGTGGAGGAAAAATACTTGCGGCAAACCAGAACAAATCTTACTATACCATTATTATGGTGCAATTGGGACCCATTAAAGAAAGAATTATTTCAGATTGTTTAGGAGTCCTTTTTTTCCCACTCCTTTGTAACCACTAAGATGTCTAAATCAAGAGACGCTTGTTCAGGTGAGAAATAACTTGTAATCTTACAGTACGTATTCTGTTTATTCAATTAAAGTACTGACATTGGAAAGAATCGCTCAGCATGGGCTTTCTCCTCCGTGATGATAGAAGTTACTTCAACATCTCGTCAGGGGGCTCAGGCTTCCCTGCATAGGTCACATTGCTGTCGTTGTTATGATGCATTGGACCAAGTCCACTGCAATATTTTTGACTCTCGTGTTTTTGAAGCTTTTAGAGAGCTCCCGAAAGGAAGTTTACCGTATTATGTTAGCTTATGCGTAATATAATTGCTGTTGGTGCACAGATTATTCACGCTAATGTACCAGCACAAAGGTACAGCGAGAGTTGTGAGTATTTGCTGCTTCAGTTAAAGACATTGCCTTATACTTCGGTAGCCTGGAGTTTCTAATGTACAATCAATTTCATCAGACATGTACAGATAATTGCAGAGTCGACAGAGGGGGTGATTAAAGAAGTAAACACTAATCTAGGTGAAGCATGCAGTGTTCCGCAAAGGTTGTCTATATTTTAGTGACTGCAGCCATTAATTGAACAGCTCGCACCACCGCACTGACTGAGCCCCAGCTCTTTGGAAGAAGAAATGAAACATGGACCAGCATAAGTGATGTTAAGCACTAACATTACATGTGTTCAGTCAGGCTCAATGCACTGATCCCATTGGCATTGTTTCAATCGCCATCGAAGAGGTAATCCCCAACAGTGAATAAAAAGCAATTTTTAATATCAAAACAGCTACACACAACCATAAATTCAGATTTATATCTTTCTCCCTCTCAAGCAACCATCTGCTGCTATGACACCCGCCCCATTTGCACACCAATTGTGAGATTCGCAAGCAACGGATGGAGATAAGAGAAGGGAGTTCCTCCTGGTGTTCCAGATGGAGTCATTGACTGCTGTCATGGCGGTTTGTGGGTGCAAATTGGCTGCCGCCTTTGCCTGCACATAATACGCAGTGACTCTAATGTTGCAGTAAATCGTGTGAAGCACTTTGGGACGTCCTCTCGATGTGAAAGGCACCATCCCAAATGCACGGTTTATTGTTACTAACATTTACGACAAATGCAAAGGTCAAAAGAGAGAGACCGGCGGGAAAAACACTCATCCCTCTTGCTGCTAGTTGCGAAAGTAGCTGTTGAAAAGTTCCAAACATCTGGCAATGAGAAAGCTACCATTAGCAGCATCCGCTATAGGGGAAGAATAATCCAGTGTGCAAACATAAATGTGACTTTGCATTGTTTTTCACTCTTGTGCATGCTACAAATCAACTATTGTATATTGTACATTTTCCCTAATGCAATACAAAGGTTGTGTTTTCTGAAACTCTCTTGTCCCTCATTTAACTCTTTTCCTCTCCCCCACTCCCCCACACACACACAACACCATGCGTGGAATCAAAACAGAACAATTTGCAAGGATTAATAGAAGTCAAACTATGGCCTCAGTTGGCACCTGCTTTCGTGACAGTCTCAATGTAAAGCTAGCTACAATCCGGATACATATTAAGCTGCTTTTATATGAATAGCAGCACCGCTTTGGAGTGATTCACTTTGATTCAATTTGGGCGCAGCTTTAATGCAGCTTCACTGGAGTATTGAGAGCAGGAGCAGTGTGACGGACTGATATTTTCTCAGTAAGCTGCACACCAGCATCTAATTTATCACTTAGGCTGCCAGGAGATTGCAAGAAGAATGATCACGTTCTAGCAGAATTAACAGTAACCCGTTAAGTGCTGTGCTAGTGTTAAGCACCAGAAGCCACAACTGTTGGTGCACGTTTCACCTACAAAATGCACAGTCACTCCACTTTACAGTATATCCTGTGAGATAAGATTTGAGATGTCTCCACAACATGGTAAGGTCGTTAGTAATACTATTATTTATTATTAATAATAAAATAATCTTTGCATTTGATATAGCGCCTTATCACATCTTTGAGACATCTCAAAGCGCTTCACAGAATACACTGTAAAGTAAATTGGCTGTATAGCTTATTTTTCTTAAACAATTCTGGACTGCAACTTCCATTTCAACTGTCTCAATAACTGAACTCGAATCAGAGATATGACACAAGTGGACTGAAGGGAGTAAATTATGCAGTTGAATTTCTAATCTTGACTTACGACGTCATGACGTACAATAAAAATGAAAGGCTAACAGCCTAAAGCTGCAAGTATTAACCTTACATTGAATGTCAAATGCAAGACTAATCCTGGAGCAATCTTGAAATGTTGCCTGATTTCAAAGCTAAACTATGCATGAATGGTACGTCACACGTTGGATAGCATGTCCTAATTAATATGAATATTGCCTCTGAAGCAAGAGTCTTATTTCCTTCTTTACATACAATACAATCTGCATTTGATATAGCATTTCATGTTGGAAGCATGTCTTAAAGTGATTGCAACAGATGATGGGGCATCTGAGCTGGGTTGGGAAGGGGAAAAAAAATTACTGAAAGCAAGGTCAAAGACACAGTTAGAATCCGCAAATCACCATAGTGAAAATGCAATATTAATTCTTACATTTGATGTAGCGCCTTTCAGCTCAGGAGAATGTTTCAAAGCGCTTCACATGATCAGAAGGTTGTAGGTTCAAGCCCCACATCAGAACTTGGAATCATATAGTCTAAGATGACACTCCATTGCAGTGCTAGAGTTGTTGGAGATGCCGTCCTTCAGATGAGACATTAAACTGAGGTCCTGTCTGCCTGTTCAGGTGGACGTTAAAGATACCACAACACTATTCAAAAGGAGAAGGGAGCTTCTCCCGGTGTCATGGCCAATAAATCCCCCCAAATAATATTGGATACTCACTCCATGGCTATTTGTGAGACACTGCTGTGTCCAAACTGGCTGCTGTGTTTCGCCCACAAAATACAGTCAATCCACTTTACAGTACACCCTGTGAAATGCTTTGAGACGTCTCGAAGACGTGATAAGGCACTGTATCAAATGCAAATGTAAAGGTTATTATGTATGTACTGTAAAGTGGAATATCTGTGTGTTTTCTGAAGAAATGAAGGCCACGCTGAAGATACTCTAAGGTGCCATTGGTAGCATGTGAAGCACGGAAACGCTGCTCTTAAAGTTCTGAGACTCAAAGTAAATAAGCCTAAATATTGCTTTACTGAGAAATGCACCATCTCACACTAAGACACATCCCATTGATGCACTCTGCAAACAGTCGATAGAAAGTAAGCATCTTAAGATCATCAATAAACTAATTTTACGCACAGTCTCCATAAGAATCGCAGCCTAGTCCTGATTAAACTACAGATGTAGCTGCATTGCTTTCCAGTTTACAGCTGTTTCAAATTGAATTGCAGGATGTAAATGGGGTCATTTGAAGCTGCTCCATCAGATAGGAGCAGACACCACCACTTCTTGCTGCCGGGCGTGAGCTCACAAAGCAGAGGACCAGATGGTCTGGCTCGAAACCCCAGACCTGCTGCCACTGGAGTTTTGCCTGAAATTGCTTGAGAGGAATTTTTTTTTGTGGTTGGAAAGAAAAGCCAAATTGCCTTGGAACAAAAATCTGTCGGGACTTTGATATTAATTTGTAAGTGCAGCTCAGGCGAACCGAGCCGTGAGGACGGAAGAAGAGGAGAGGGGAATGGTATGGTAAAACGGGTGCTCTGAAATGTGCACATGGGCAAGGGCCGCGAGCTTACCCGAGTGTGTTCTGATGCAGTGAGTGGGCACATTACCTTGCACGCCATTACCTCTCACCTTGTGCCATGTTTCGCTCAAGTCGCTGTGGCGTTTGTCCCAGTGGGACACGGGGCATACAGCGATGTAACTTACACGGGATGTTTAATCCTCCCCACCCCGCAAGCCCCACCAATTGCAGAATAATCACGTGGGAGAGGTGAACAAAATGCAACGGGTGATGTGATAATTATCACCAGTGATATTGGATGGCGGGCAATTGGAATTGAAACATGAATCAATAATTATTGCAATGCCAGATGTGTAAGCACCCTCAGTTAGTTTACAACAATGCTAGTGCCAACCCCAAACCTGAGCCAGCATTAGTGAGCGCGCACACATCCCAAAAAAGATTTGTTCCATGTAAAAACCATGAGTCATGTAATCGCTCTGTTTCCAGCAGCGTAGAAGGAGTTTGCGATGACAAATGTAAAAGGTCGGATCTAATTTATTCAAATGCTAGTGAATTACGGGGTGCAAAAATCATGACGTGCGTTGTGTCCTCTCGGCCTCCTATTTGTCCCTCGTGCCCTCAGCTCCACCATCAGTGACCATGCCATCAGCCACCACGCCCCGAAACTCTGGAACTCTCTCCCTCGATCCCTCCGCCTTGCCCCCTCTCTCCCCACCCCACCTTCAAATCCCGCCTAAAAACGGTCCTTTGTGAGGGTGCTTACGGTTACCTCCCCCGGCCCTCTCCCCCCCGGCTCGTTGTCAGACGCCACCACTGTGAAGCGCTCTGGGGTGCTACCCCACGTGAAAGGCGCTATATATACATGCTAGTTGCTGTTGATGTGTTCATCCTAGAGGGAGAGAAATGGATGTACTGGGTCGGAGTGCTCATAACTACCTGCCCGCTTCAAAGGTGAACCATGTTGAATCCCGACCGTATCGTCGGAGAGCACTGAGGGGCCACGACACCAGCTTCGCTCGGGGATTGTGAATGTCCCAAAGGCAGATGTTTTCGTACGTGATCTGCAAGGTGCACTCCCCGTGGACATCCAGATTAGGCGACGGCATCAAATAAACATTGAACCTTTCTGTAGGAATAAAAAATGAACGGATCATTCGAGGCAGCTGCGTCGATTCTTTCTTGTGAGAATTCCACTTGCCGTGGAAGCTCACTCTTCTATAATCTTCGGAGGAAGGCCCTTTGGTGCAGGACAACACTGTTAGAATTGCATCTGGAATCCTTGACTTTATAAATAGAGACAGAGTACAACAGCAAGGAAGTTATGCTAAACCTTTATAAATCACTGGTTAAAAATAAAATAATAATCCTTGTAATTTGATATAGCGTTTTTCACGTCTTCTGGACGTCTCAAAGCGTTTCACAGAATATACTGTAAAATGAATTGACTGTATAGTTGTGAGTGAAACGCAGCAGCCAATTGTGTACAGCAGCGTCCCACAAACAGTCGTGGATTGAGTGATCAAATTATTATTGTTTTTTTTCTTGAGGAATTATTATCAGGCGTGTGGAGTAAGGAAACTTGCCCAAGGCTTCGCTGTGCCAGGAATCGAACCCAGACCTCTCGCTTGTGAGCCGAGTGTGCTCTAACCACTGAGCTACAGGACTCCTTAGGCCTCAGATGGAGCATTGTGTCTAATTCTAGGTATCATACTTTTGGAAGGATGTCAAGGCCTTGGAGAAGGTGTAAAGAAGAATTACTAGAATGATACCAGAGATGATGACTTCAGTTATGTGGTGAGATTAGAGAAGCTGGGATTGTTCTCCTTAGAAGGGAGAAGGTTAAGGGGAGATTTGATAAAGTTGTTCAAAATTGCGAGGGGTTTCAATACAGTAAATAAGAAGAAACTGTTTCCATTGATGGGTGGTTCAGTAACCAGAGGACACAGATTTAAGATAATTGGCAAAAGAACCTGAGGGGAGATGAGGAGACTTTTTTTTACGCAGCGAATTGTTACGATCTGGAATGCACTGCCTGAACGTTTGGTGGAAGCAGATTCAATAATAACTTTCAAAAGGGAACTGGATGTATATTTGAAAAGGAAAAATGTGCAAGGCTATGGGGAAAGAGCAGGGGAGTGAGACTAATTGGAGAGCCGGCACAGGCCTGATGGGCCAAATAGACTTTCTATGCTGTAAGATTCTATGACAAATATGTGGGTGTGTGATGTGATAAGTGGTTCAGCCTGGCTCAGTTAACAGCACCCTCACCTCTAAGTCAGAAGGTTTTGGGTTCATCCCACGTCGGGACTTTAAGCTCACAGTCTTGGCTGACACTCCAATACAGAGCGGGGGAAGTGCCGCTTTGTTAAAAGATACTGACCCTTCAGATAAAACATTAAACTGAGGTCCCATCTACCTGTTCAGGGAGATGTTAAAGATCCCATAGCATTACTTAAAAAAATTGTGGAGTTCCTCCCAGTTTCCTGGCCAACAATTCCCCAGTTAAAATTGGTCACTCACTTCATAGCTGTTTGTGGGACTTTGGTTTGTGCAAATTGGCCACAACGCTTGCCTACAAACACATAGTTATTACACTTTACAGTAAATCCTGTGAACGCTTTGAGATGTTTCAATGACATGATATGACACAATAACAAATGTACTCTGATCTCAGTGTACATCGCTCATAACCAATATGAACCAATGACTGACACCATTATTTATTATGGCCACCTAATGTAGGGTGGTATTTTGGGAGTTCAGCCTCAGGATACTGGTTTAACATAGACTGAGCATGCTAATGCCCATCACATGTCATCTCATTTTTAAACTCACCCGGGCCAGGTGTTACAAACGCATCGAGGGGATCAGAATACTCCACTATGTGTTATTGTGGACCGTGTACACAAGCAGAGTTCGAGGATTTTATGAGATCTTTGTCGGGACAATGAGAGGCAGCAGGTATCTGGGACCACATCCGGAATGTGAATTCAACTGTAGCCTCACCGAGATTTCTATCACCTTGTATTACAGAGGAAGTACGTGCGATTATCACATACTACTTGACTTTGAGCCTAATGTTGCCAATTCCATTTGTCTATCAGCAACAAATAAATATCATAGCTGATGTCAGTAGCTACCAAAACATACCAGTTTGTTCTCTCTGTACTCCAGCTGTCAGCAAGTCAGGCTCCCCTAGGCTGATGTCGTTGATCCTGCTGCCCAGACACTCCATACGCAGGAGTTTGCACCATTCCTCTGCCTCAAGGTCTATGAAAGAGCACAGATTCAACTGATTTGCGATGAACAAAAACACAATAGGGACCTGAAGACAACTGCAAACTATATGACCCTATACTTGCATACAAGTCATCTGAATTACTTTTTAAGATGTAGCTCAATTCTGTTCCAATTAGTCACAAGATTTAGCTCCAACAGCAGCAGAAACGAATGGCCATAAATACAACATAGCAGATCTCAAGGGGATTTCAAGGGGAACATCTTAAGGGTGGTGAGATTGTAGAACTGTGGTTGAAGCAAAAAACATGAAAGTATGTTATCCACTTAACTGCATATCGGAACAACTACATACTCAATTTAATTGCATAACAATTTCTAGGTACTGAAAATTTGCTATTTGTTTGCATGGTATTGCACACTGCTCAAATGCATATTGGATAATTGCACAGTTTGCTAATTGCATGGAAGATCATCGATTTCATTCGCACCTGTATAATTATTTTAGGCCTTTTGCATTGGTTGAGTAGTTGGTTGTGTGAGGTGTGCGTATGGAGAAGAGGCGGTTATGGGATTGGAAGGTGGTACCACGAATGAACTTCGGGTAATTGCATAGTCCGTGCGATCGGGTGAGCAATATAGACTGGAAACCCCCAGTTTTGCACTCAGTGCTGTGTTCAGTTCACAGAATTTAACTGGGTGGGTGACAATTGGCAGCAATGGCATAGGTTAGGAACTCTGCATCAATAAATCAGCATCCGGTTCTGACTGACAATGGGTTTTTGTTATGGACATTGGGTGATGCCAGAAATGGGCTCAACTGAACCCCCAACTGTGCTGCCACTCACTGTAATGAGTTCAACTATGGTCAATCAATCAAGTTCCCTAAATTCCTTCCCATGGAACCACGACTCAACAGAAGACCATAAGACGTAGGAGCAGGAGTAGACCATTTGGCTATTCGAACCTGACCCGCCATTTAATAAGATCATGGCTGATCTTCTAACCTAATTCCATTTTCCCCCCTATCCCTTAATCCCTCTATCCTTTAGAAATCTATCAACCTCAGTCTTGAATACGTTCAAGAACTGAGCATCCACAGCCTTCTGGGGTAGGGAATTCCACAAATTCACTATCCTCTGAGTGAAGAAATGTTTCCTCAACTCAGTTTGAAAAGGCTGACCCTTAATCTTGAGACTATGACCTAAGACAAACTAAGACAAAGTGACACAAATATCTTAAGAAGAGTATGAACTGAGAGAAAAAAAATCGACAGGGAGAAATGGATCAGGGAAAAACAAACATCTCTGATAGTACAAACTAAACAATTCAAATCGTCTTTATTATCCAGAGATAAAAAAATACAATTAAACAAACGCATAATAGGGTTCTCCACCCAGACACATCACAAGTTCACAAAAGTATGCATCACCCACCTGAATCACATGCAAATGTTTTTGAAGTATCATCAATGAAAATGATGGCCACAGCATGCTTCTTTGTGCTCTTTGGCAGTCTTGTCACAGTCTTGATATGACTGAGGTCAGTTACCTGAAAGATGAACAGTTTGCACTTCTTAAAAGGCCTTTTTCTTGCTTAATTTCTAGAAAAAGGGAGATGTAAACCCAGAAGTGTTAAAACGCATCTTAAAAGGCTTTCGTTTGGTTGGTGTCATTTCCATTAGTCAGATCAATATGCTCAATCAATGAAAGTACCACAGCTGTGAGCAAGCACAAGGTTAGGAAAGTCTAACAAAGCAAACAGAGAGGTAAGGGGAATAATAGAAAATAAAGCAACCCTATGCATAGAAATATGCCCACATCAAATAAAGTGAATGGTGAATCAATATCTAAATGTTACCAGTCATATTTAGATCATTCAGACGTATCTAGGCTATAACTCACATTTTGGAATTGATGTGGGCTAAGAAGGTGTGTACAATGGGAACAAAGGTTCACGGGGGGAAAAAAATACTCTGACTGAGTGATATCAGATTCCATTTCTCTTCTGGGATATGAGATTCACATCGCAAGTCAGATAGCTGCTGTAAATCATTCTGTCACATGTTCTATTTATACCACACGTCATTGTGAGATGATGCATTTGAAATCTCTCAAGAGTAATTTTTCTTTTTAAATAATGTATTTAATGAGGCGGGTGAGTGGGATGATGATGCTTCTGAAGGTCAGGATGAGGAGCTTCACTGCAATTATAGTGCCCATTGAAGCCGTATTCACTGTCCTTGCGCTGCATAGTGCACAGTGGAAACAACGTAAAATGCGAATCAAGTCATGTGTTTATGTATTGTGTGTCGTGCAGCTCAATTACCAGCAAGTAAATCTGGGGAAAAGCCCAAAACACCGTAAATCATTGCTCAGGGGTAGTTACTAGGTACAGTGAACCCCTTCCTACCTGAGCAGCACAATTGATACCTACNAAAAACATTGTACTCTGTATTTACAATTAGAGTATAGTAAACTAAATCATCATAGTCTAGGCCAAGGAGATCCAATTGGTGGCCCGCTCCAGATGTCTTGGCCATCAGTTCTTCAGATAAACGGGTCCTTCACCTCAGGGCCATTTGTGGTACCTTGATTTTCTGCTACATATAACCTGAGGAATAACTACAAAATTAACACTGAGACTTTCAACGTGGTAACCCACTATAAAAATGGAAATTCTGGCCTTAAATATGTCAAGTTATTACAATCAATTCTCAGTGAACCTCTCATATTCACAGTCTGGTTCACAGTGACAGAAGCTGATCCATTAAAGCCTGGCATTCGGGTCTACTTAAAGGATCCTGGATTGTAAAGATCTAAGAAATATACAGTATGTTTTTTTAAAAAATCAACCCAAATGTTTTAGGACCATTGGTTATTTATATTTTCTTTAGGAAAGATTAACATTTGTGTTGAAAGTGGTGTCTGAGTATAGTTTGGTTACGTCGATTTGTGGGCTTCAGATTGAAGTTGCATTTCTGCATTAAGTGTGGCCTTCATTGCTGCTCATTAGGTTCCGGGACCTTTGGGCATCAGTAATCAATTACACCACTGCTTTCAGGTTTTCCAATATCTATCAGAACTCAATGTACCCAGACATTATTGCTAAGCTGATTAATGTAATCGCTAGATATAGCTGACAAGCTTAACACAACTTAATGCTTTGGACATGGACTGATACCAGCCTACTGTGTCCATTTTAAATATGGGAGCGAAAGTGTGGTGGGAGATTTGATTAGTGTACTGACCCGGCCCCTCCCTTAGCTAAGGCCACTCCCTTACGATTAGCTAAGCAAGCATCAGCCTGCCTCTCTGCTCCACTCTTGGCAGTCAGGCTTTCAATTTATCTGCCCCAACTCTCTAGAACTTCATCCCGGAGTAACCTCCAAATTGTCCTGTCCCTCACCTCGTTCAAGGTCTGTCTCAAGACCTAATTCTTTGAGTCATCTTTCCCCTCCTCCCCATCCCTCTCTGCTCCTACCCGTAGCTTGGCTCCCAAGCTAGGATTGTTGGGAGCCTTGGGACGTCCTCCCAAAGTGAAATGCGCTACATAATATATATATATATGTATTGTATCACACTCAGGAGAGACTTTCCCTATCAATGTGATTTTCCCTACAAAGCAGGACAATCCATCCACACAGAGAATTGACACAAGGACATTGCGCATCATTGAATAAAGTGTTCCATTGGGCTAAAACAATGAGAGAGGCCAAATTGCTAATCTGGTTAATTCTTAACATCTGCGTAGGAAATTTGAATGCAGGAGTCTTACAAAATAGATTTACTGGCTCGTTGTCCAATATTTTGTTATAAATGTTCCAACAGCTGGCTGAACTGATTTATTAATATCCACTACACTGCTTCAATTGGACTCCTTTGCTTGAGAGTAAGTTGAATCTGAGAATTCATGTTTTATTAACAGCGGGTTTTGTTTTCTCTCATTGGAAGACTTTGCCATCGTCTAACTCAGAAAGGTGGGGCAAAATTAGATGTATTCATAGCATTTGAGCTTGGTTGCCGTTTATTTTATTTGCTTTCATAAGGGCACGCGTTTATCGGATGTGAGTCTAAGCAGGTTATTTTTGTATTTGATGTAGCCCCGTATGTTATTGAGACGCCTCACATTATTTCACATAAATTTTACTGTCAAGATATGATTTTTTTTAATGGATCTGACCCGAACATGACATAGCTATATGACAGCAGTGCATATATATATGGGAAAGGATCTCATTAATGACCCTAAAAGAAATGAATCCACATACCAAGTAAAACTTATGAAGTGCTTTTTTATTTTACCTCAGCCAAAACAAGCATGAGGGCTCCCACCTTGAGTAGGAACCCAGTTGTTAGTTGCTGGGCGGATCGCTTTTACCGGGGTAATAATTCTTTCAAAATAATAATAACAATAATAATTTGGTCACTCAATCCAAAACTGTTTGTGGGGCATTGCTGTGCGCAATTGACTGGCGCTTTTCGCCCACAAAATACACAGTCAGTTCACTTAACAGTGTATTCTGTGAAGCGCTTTGAGGCGTCTCGAAGATCTGATAATATATTGTTATTATGTGTAAAACCTTAAACAACCACCTCAAAGGGGTGTTTGCCAGACTCTCATTACACATGCCATTCCCGGTCAGTCCCAATTCCTATAGCAACGTATACTGATTCAAGACAAATTCCCAATGATACACGGACTCACTGTTGCTAATGTCTGATTAAACAAAGCAGTAAATACAGGATTAGCCACTTCATGCAGTAAATATGTACCCTTAAATGTGTTCCAGATATTTATTTATCTTTGAAATACTTTTTTTTAAACAATTATGGTGTGAAAAATATTACAGGCAATGAGGCGAGGTCAGTAAAGAATGAGAATTCTGTCAAATCATTCTCTGTTTATTTATTAACATAATCACTGTATCAGCAGTAATGTTGCAGAACATTTCGGTACAATTGCAGGCTACACACTGGTGGGACATCGTCGGGGAGTAGAGCTACCAATTAATGCAGTGGATTGAAAGGTGAAAAGGATATCTCTCATTTACTCAGGTGTTTTACTGCTGGATGTACATCCCCAAAAACACGGAGCAGATCAACAAGCCATTGAAATCTATTATCAGACAAAATATAGTCAAGTCGCTTTACAGTATATCCTGTGAAGCGCTTTGAGATGTCTCGAAGATGTGATAAGGCACTATATCAAATGCAAGGATTATATTATTATATTATAAATAGGATCTGCTCGTATACTGGAGCACACAAGTCTTTACTCAGGCTCGTGGAGTCCTGTAGCTCAGTGGTTAGAGCACTCGCTTTGCAAGCGAGAGACCTGAGTTCAATTCCAGGCAGAGGGCGAAACCTTGGGCAAGTTTCCTTACTCCACACAGAGCCTAATAATAATCCCTCCAAAAAACCCAAAACAATAATAAATTGGTCATTTTCAATCTACGACTGTTTGTGGGACATTGCTGTGCGCAATTGGCTGCCGCGTTCGCCCACAAATATACAGTCAATTCACTTTACAGTGTGTTCTGTGAAGCGCTTTCGGACGTCCTCCCGACGTGAAAAGCGCTATATCAAATGCAAGGGTTATTATTATTATTATTATTACAGGTATCTATTCTTTGCCTGTTTCTTCCTCAGATAATAAAGCTTACTTCAGCACAGAGAAAACAAGGAACATCAACCACTTGGATGCTATGGTTTTCAGGATTTGCACTCCCACCATATTTCTTGCCTTGTCACATTTCTAAGTTCCATCGTTTTCGCACAGCCTTTAATTACCCACTTGGGACCAGTGTTGCTTTGTTACTTTTGGAAGCTCCATCCCTTATAGGAGGAGCATTCGTTACAGATTAATATCATTGTGCAAAGCATGTCTAATCTCTCAGACTTAAAGAGCAGCAGCAGCATTTTTCTTTAACGCATCCATTTGTTTTGACTTGCAAAATTAAAGCACGGTTCTGAACGTATAATTAACGTCAGGTAACGCATAATTAAATGAGAGAACATTGTACTTTTCAAGATTCATAAATTATGAGGCACTTTCACTTTTAAAGGTCTATCAGCGTTTTAATTTTTCATGCAACTATTGGATACCTCGAAGATATAACTGATGGGATTCATTATTTTACTAAATTTTTGATTTGAACGCCTCACTAAATTGGATACATATCTGCGAAAGTACGGTGTTGATGAGCATAGGGGATAGATGCAACCTTGATAACAACATGTTCAGGGTCAAAGTGGCAAGGAGGGTTGCATGTGGAAGGAAGGAGAGTTTGATTAGTACAGATGTAAAATAAATAGTTTTTGCTCGATTACCTTTGGAGATTAGAAAATATCAATGCAAACAAAAGTTGATTTAAGTCAATATCCCCTGAACCAGCAAGTGCTGGGATGGCCTCAGAACCAAAAGCTGCGTTCAGCCAGCTCAATAAGACCAGCGAGCTCAATGGACAATTGACAACAACAAGATTACATTTGTATGGCGCCTTTCACGTCGGGAGGACGTCTCAAGGCGCTGGACAGAGTACAGGATTT